AGATCTCCTTTTATTCTTATACGTTTTCTCTTCTAGTTAATATTCCTGCTAATGCTAAATGGGCACAGAACGGAGTGACTATTGCTGGAGGTAACGGGGCGGGGGGTGCCACTAATCAACTATGGGGCCCTCATGGTCTCTTCGTTGATGATGATCAAACAGTGGTTATTGCTGACTACTACAATTATCGTATCATGCAATGGAAGAACGGTGATACAACGAAGGGACAAATTGTTGCGGGTGGTAAAGGCCAAGGAAATGGATTACATCAATTGTATCGTCCAACTGATGTATTAATTGACAAAGAGACGGATAGTTTCATTATTTGTGATCGAGTGAATCGACGAGTTGTACAATGGTCTTGTCGTAGTGGTACAGCACAAGGAGAAATATTCGTCGATAACATCGCTTGTCATGGAGTAGCTATGGATGATCAGAGATATCTCTACGTTGCTGACACAGAAAAGCATGAAGTAAGACGATATCAATTGGGTGAGAAGAATGGCACCCTCGTAGCTGGTGGTAATGGACAAGGTGATGGACTCAATCAACTCAATTGGCCGACATATCTCTTTGTCGATCGACAACAGAATGCCTACGTGTCAGACAACAGCAATCATCGTGTAATGAAATGGAATAAAGGTGCAAAAGAAGGTATTGTGGTTGCTGGAGGACAAGGTGAAGGGAATGCTCTGACACAATTGTCTTATCCTCAAGGAATTTTCGTTGATACGTTGGGTACACTCTATGTAACAGACTGGGGGAATCAGCGTGTAATGCGTTTTACTCAAGGAGACAAGAAGCGAGGCACTGTGATTGTGGGTGGTAATGGTCAAGGAGAAGGAGCAAATCAGTTCAACTACCCCCGTGGTTTGTCTTTCGATCGACATGGTAATCTCTATGTCGTCGATCATTATAATGCTCGTGTTCAACGATTTTCTATCGAATAAGACTTGTGAATTGTTTTTTCTTTGTTCGTTTCTTTTTCTATACGTTGAAATAAATGAACAAGAAAAAAAGAAAATTTTTTTTACTCTTTCGCTTCAATGAAAAGAAAAGAATATAAAATTACGTCATATATTTCTTTTCTTCTTCTTCGTTTATTTATTTGTTAAATGAAAAGAAATGAATTAAATAAAAATTATTTTTCGCAAAAAATATTAATTATTAAAGTGAAAAAAATAAATTGTGTTTTTGAAAATATTTATGATTTAAATGAAAAAATAAAATTTTGTATTATTTTCATAAAAATATTTATTAGAAAAATAAAATAATTTTTTAGTAAAATGACAAAAAAAAATTATTAGTAAAATTAATTTATTTTAGTAGTAAATTGCAAATAAATTTTTAGTAAATCGAAAATTATTTTAGTAGTAAGATTAAATAATTTAGTAGTTCAATGAAAATTAATTTGTTTTTTTCGTAAAATATTTATGATTTAAATGAAAAAATAAAATTTTGTATTATTTAAATGAAAATAAAATTTGCGTGTTTTTGAAAATATTTATTATTGATATGAATAAATTTTTTGTTACTTTGAAAATATTTTATTCCTCAAATGAAAAATAAATTTTGTATTATGTAGATGAAAATTTTATGATTTCAATGAAAAGAAAATTTTGTATTATTCAAATGTAAAATAAAATTTGAGTTATTTTGAAATAGTTTGTTGTTAACATAAAAATATTTATTGATAAGATAAAATAATTGATAAGTAAAGTGAAAAGAAAAAGATTTGAATTAATTAAATAATGTTTATTTTAAAAATCAAAAAAAAATACAATAAAAATAAAACAAGAATGAAAAATAATTATACTTACATTTGAATTGAATTGAATTGAAAAGTTGAATGGAACTAAAACGAAACAAGCAGAAATGAATTCGAATGAAAAATTAATTTTTTTTTGCTTACCAGCTAATAGTTGCTCGCGCGACCAAGAACTACCTTGGTGGTGCCATAGAGAACCAAGGCTCTTCACGTGCAGGTATAGATCTAACGTGTATAGAACATACAACAGGAAGATCTATATGCGGCCCGTACGTGCTATGGGCACCAATATTGGCTTGGCCAGTTTCACGCCGATGTATGGAAGGCTTCCGTAGGACATATTAAAATTTTAATTGAAAGAATACTTACTTTTGTTACTGAAATAGAAAATAAAAAACTTATTAACTAAAACGAAAATAAAATAAAATAAAATAATTATCATATAAAACTAAAATAAACAAAGGGGGTAAAAAGCTGAGACAACGAGAAAACAAAGTAAAAGAACTAAAACTATACTTACCCGTGATATTGATAGTTGTGAATATGAATAGAAGCTAAAATAGTTAAAAAATAAAAAATATATATATATACATAATATTATAATAAAAGAAGAAGAAGAAGAAGAAAAGGGGGAATGATACTTTACGTTGAAAATTGTAACTATTTATAGTCATTTTTTGGTAAATTGAAATAGACAATTGATATTAGGTATCAATTGTACTTTGGATGATTGATCAACAATGTGACAGTGTTACAATTAGTAGTCATCATATCATCGAGATAAATCAATTATGTCATGCGGAAACATATTAACGTATACTCGACTAATTGATCGTTTGTGTTTCATCTGCACCCGTGCTGAATGAAAGAATCATAATAAGTCTATCTATCGGAATCGATCACAATGGCAATTTTCAATTGTTTTCAGTTTGAACATTATTCTCTGTTTTATTCTATGGTTTCCATTCATTTATTAAATAACAATTAACAATCTACAATAGAATGATCTGAAGAGGTAATATATTTTGTTTCTATAGAATTTATTTTCAATTTATAATTAGTTAAATATGCTGATTTAGGTTTATCTTATAATTTTAATTTTAATGTTTATTCAAAAATGTAAGTAGAATTATTTTAGCAACTAGAGATAATTGAATTTTGTTTTCAATTTCAGTTCAATCAAAATTACAAGTAGAAAAATAAATTTGTTTAATCCAAAAAAATGATATATTAATGTTATGCAATTAAAATGAATCCACTTGATCAATTTATTTTTATTTAATGCAATTGGGAGCAATACTTGATAATTAAATAAGGTTCAAACTCTCCTCTATTGCTCTAAATTAATCCTAGATTTATAATTCAAAAAAATATTTCGTAAAATGTTATTTACAATTTACTAAGAGGTAAAGGATCTTTCATAATCGGATACATGCTGTAATGACGAAAAATAGCGGATTGATGGAAAGATAGACCTACCAGAACAAAATTTCTCATTTAAAAAATGCAAAGAACTCTCAGCACCTATCGTTTGTTTGTTTCTCGTCGTCTAGCATAAGTTATTTCATGAGATTTCGATGACAACAAATGTATTATAGTTTTCGTTGATGATGATGAGTAACCAGATAAGCATCAGCTTTGTAGTTTTATTCGACTAGAATTTTTCTCAAAAATAACTGAATAATAATAAAAATCCCAATGAGGAAACGTTTTGTTCTTCAACAAGGCATTTATTTATTCAAATTGGATTTTCATCACAAATATAATAAATCTTACTGCCATTACTTTCTTTAATAATATTTTCGTACAGATTTCGATAGATTTTCATTGCAATAAAAGTAACTATTAGAACAAAAACAATCGGGATGAATTACATCACTTTCATGGCCTTAACCCTTATAGTAAATATAAAAATGAATAGTTACAAATATTGTAGTTAAACGTGTTTGATTTAATGTAATCGTCATACAATAATCAATTCGTATCAACACTAACACTAGTCAAATGAAATAAGCGTGAGTAATCGAACCTATCATCCATCGAACTTAGCAGAA